TGCAGAAAGACGTGTTGTGACCTTCAAAAGACAAGTCTTTTGCCTTGCTCTGACATATTTTTAGGGTTATGTGAATTAATTTCAAAAGATGCACATCGTTATTCATTGGCTAGGAAGGAAAGGAATCCTGAAAACTAGCATGGAAGTGACACCTTATTTTCATATGACTGAGGTATGTGACATGGATCATATTAGTAGTGCTGTTTCATATTTAAATCCTTGTCAATATACACTTTGGCTAAGTACTTAGATTTGTAACTTCACATTCATAATTAATTCCAAGTCAATATGACTATTCACCTCAATAAATTACTTGCACCCCAAAACAACATTGTTACCATCAACAATGCTTTGTTATAACAAATTCCAGAGCTTTCTGGCAAATGCTGAAATTTGGAAGAGTTAAAACTGACAGAGACAGAATCCCATTCAAATTGAAGGACTTCGTGTACTAGTTTCCTCATTGTAGGAAAATTCTACTGAATTTGGTTGAAGAATGTTTATTACCTGTTGTAGATACCTGCAAGAAAATTTGGAATCTTGTTTGGATTTTCTTTACTAAAAATATGCACATTTATTTAAAATAATTCTTTAGGAAATCATTTCAGATGTGTTGTAGGTATTAAATATTTCTGAAAACTCCCTGTGGATTTTGAAACTGGCTTTTATGATCATTACATCAAAATTAAACCTCTACAATTCTTTGTAGCTCTTCCACATTACTGATACAGAAACAGTAATTTGATTCAAAATAAGAGAACTAATTTTTTCGGTTTTGAACTCTCCTTGGCTCGCAATTTTAACTTCAATTGATTTGAAAATAGAATTTGTACCTTTAGTGGTAATTAATAACTCACACTTAACCCAGCTTTTTGAAATCAACCAATAACAGACTTATCAGAGTCCTTCTATCAGCATTAGATACATTCTTGGGATAGAAGATAATTTTCACAAAGTGACAAAGCCACTTCAGTATAATTGTGGTATTTTGCAAACAGAGGAAATATTTTTTTTTTTTCACCAGAACTGATAATGGGTCCTTTAAGAGTGGCTTTTGGAAACAAGAATTGATTAATCACATGATATGATTTGTTGTAGCACTTCAAGCAAATTTGGTTACGTTTCATGGTCTGCATCATTTATTCCCATGAAGTGCACAACAAAAAGTGACTAATTGATTTATCTGTGCAAATCACTTCAGTCATTATTCCAGTCTTAATAACTCTGCCGGGAACGTAGTCTCCTATCAATCTTTTTAGCTTGTCAAATAGTCAAATATATGCTCAGAGTTCAACCTGTTCTAAAGTGTTTTTTTTTTCTTTTTAATGAATTGCAGTGAATTACTTAATAGCTGTTGGATTTTCATCAATTACGTATTTTAACTCCAGTGAATTGAATGCAATTAAATTACAAATGATGATAATTATCTGGTGTAAAGATTGATCTATGAGATAT